GGTTCGGATTTTAGCAGTGTCTGGAAAGGGGAGATGGAAAAAGTTAGAAGACAGAAAGTGTTCGAGCTTAACAGCAAGGTCTGTGTTTGTCCCCCCACAGGTAGTGAGCACCTGGAGGGCAGTGACCGCTGAGACCTCAGGGCACAGACGGGGTGTAGAGTAAGCACTGCCACGTCCAGGCTTGGCTTGAGACCAACTCTCCTCCCTTTGGCCTATCTAAGGCCCTTCACTGCCATTCTCAAAAAGATGACAATTCCAGAGAAGAGTCTGTTTCAAGTTAGTCTCAGGGTCCAACTGGGGAGTCAGAACACTTTGAGTGGGTATTTTAGTAACGTTATCCACACATATAAAACATCTACTATGTGCAAACACATAACACCATAAAATTCATCAAACTACTGATATTAAGAATGGCTTTCAGGAGGCAGAGGCAGGTGGATCTCTGTGAATTTGAGGCCAGCCTGGTCTACAGAGCGAGTTCTAGGACAGCCTCCAAAGCAATACAGAGAAACCCTGTCTCGAAAAAACCAAAAATAAATAAATAAATAATGGCTTACCTATGTATCCCAGTTTGAACATGGAATGACCCATACAAGGGAGAAATTTAAAACATGTAATGTGTATATGTGTGTGTGTGTGTGTGTGTGTGTGTGTGTGTGTGTATGTGTGTGCACATGTGCTCATGTGCATGTTTGAGGTTAGAAACAGCTTTCTGGAGAGTCAGCACTCTTCTTTCACTATATGGGTTCCAGGAACTGAACTCAGGCTACTGTGTTTGGTGACAAGTGCCCTTACCTGCTGAGCTGTCTCACCGGGCCCAAGAATTTTATTAGTTTATTTATTCATTTGTTTATTTATTTGTTTCCCATGGTTGAAAATTGAAGTCAACCCTCAGATGTTCTGGGTAAGCCCTCTCCAATGGAGAAATTCTTAAGGATTTGGCTAACGTGTCTGAGATATCTCAACAATTCTACTCTGTGAAGGAGGGCAGCTGGTAACAGTCCTTGAATATTAGGAGACCAAAATCAACACAGCATTGTCTAAGATTTTTATTTATTTCTTACTCTTATTTAATTCTTGGTCTTATGAGACATGGTCTCACTATGCAGACCAGGCTGGTCTGGAACTTACAGAAATCCAGCTGCCTCTGCCTTCTGAGTGTTGGGATTAAATGTGTCTACCATTACACCTGGCTCTATTTTTTATTTTGAATTGTTGGGGCTGGGGGAAGCAGGTAGTGGGGTAGCAGGAGTGGCAGTGCCCTCAGAGGCCAGAAGAGGGCATCAGATCCTCCTAAGTCAGTGTTACACATAGTTGTGAGTTACCAGACATACACGCTGGGAACCAAACTCTGGTCCTCTGCAGGAGCACAATGCACTCTTAAGATGTGTTGACTTGGGGGCTGGAGTGTCAGCACATGTTATGTTACATGGCAAAAAGATAAGAAACAGAAGGAGACAAAGGTATCGCTGTACACACACAAACATAGTTATAAGGAAAGAAGGAGAGAATACTCATGACTCATGACAACTACAGACTTAGCAACCGGTCACATTTGTGACCATCACCCATCACCAGTTCCATCTTCCCCTAGGCCTCAGGAAGCATGTCAACTCTCTCAGCTCTCACCCCGGCCTTCTTTTCTGGAGACCAATCCAGTCACTAATTTAATCCATCTTAATTTCCCACTGAGTTTAGCCACTTGAATCTTAGCATGGCGATGCTAAAAGATGCCCCAAGGGATTCTCAGAAGTCCAGGAATCCTGTGCAAAGCTCCCAACGCATTTAAAACTCTTCCTTGGGTTGTGCTTCCTGGTCATGCTCAGGGTACCCATTCTATTCGGGCTAGTTACTGGGCTAACTTGTGTCCACATATGCCTGCCTGGCAGGGTGAGCTACAGACAGAGCCAAGTCCTTCACCATCTTTTTTTTTTTTTAAGTATATCCCACAGCAGCAGCATCAACCCTTGATTCTCTGCTTGCCAGAGGGTTAAATTCACAGGCAGTTTAAGCTTAAAACAAACAGCAACTAAGTCGAACTTTGCCCATTCAATGACGAACACACAGACATCCAGAAGCTTAATGCTGTATTTTATCGGTAGGTGGCTTTCCTGTCACACTCATGTGGAAACTTTCATTCCCAGCTAAGGCATCGGGAGGAAACACATTAAGCCTGGAAGAGATTTTCCTGGGCAGTTATTATATCCTGCTGGGAAGTTAGAGGACTCCCGGGCATCTGGCAGAGCACTGTCTGGGGAGGGCTCGTGGGCTGGCAGAGCTGCAGGAGCCTCGACACTGGCTAAGGTAAGAGAAAGTAGAGCTGTCTGTCGAAGGGAAGCCCTGAGCCTCCAGGGCTGCTTAGGACAGGGACAAAGGTTCAGGACGAGTAGACAGGCTCTCAGAAAGACGTCCTGGCAACTCCAAAAGAAAGACTCAGTAGCTTTGCAATTTGATAGATGGAAAAATCAGGTTCTGACTCTGGTACCAACAGCAGAAATGAAAGGAATATGCACTCATTTAGAAAACAGATTAATTGAAATTAACATAAGTTTGTACCTTGTTCTTAAATTTTACTATGGTATATTCAATATTCACTTTAAAAAATAGACCTAGAAGTACAATGAAATCAGATTTAAGCATTGAGAATCAAGTCCCGTGCACTATACTTCAAGGCATGGTGGTATATACTATAGTTCCTGAAATCAGAAGGCTGAAGTAGGAAGATCCTGAGTTCAAGGGCGGCCAGTATTATACAGTGAGATCTTGTCTCAAAAGAAAAAAGTCAATGTGGTCAATTAGGTTAGTTAGTACCAAAACTGGCCACTCTGTCAGAATCACTGTAACACATTTCCGTGTAACCAAGGAACTGCAGAGACTGATGAACTGAGTCTCTATTCCAAATGCCTCTCACATTGGGACTATGGGGTTGAGGTAGGGGTCAGCAGTATTGCGTGCTCAGCATGAAGAAGGCCCTGAGATCACTGCCCAGCATCCTCCTGCAGCTGTAAAACAGGGAAGGTCTCAGATTGCTAGGACGGTGGCAGATAGAGGGGTGTGATACGCGGTAGGCGCTTGGCACAGTGATACCCCCCCCCCCAGTGTTACTGCTTATTGAAAATGCTAAGTGTTATGGAAAGAAGGCTCTCCTCACTGGTTCACCGAATTTCAAAAACAGCACAGTTCTGAGGACGTAGTAGCTTAGAGTGCCGGCTGAAGGAACTTTACGGTCTGCTGTTTGGAGTGTGGTGGTAGGAGCTCAGAGCCACACAGTTTTTATTATATATTTGTACTGGTTTCTTTTCAGAGAGTCCAGTAAAGCCTGGGATGGGGCACACACCTGTAACCCTAGCACTCACAAGACTTAGACAAGAGGAATGCTGGTTCCAGGCCAGCCTGGGCCCTGGAGTTAGAACTCAAGAAAAAAATTCAGTGACTCCAAAAGAGCTTTGCTTAGATTTAAAAACGATTTGCCCCCAACTCCACAAAATGCTAGTCAGGAGACAGGAAAAGGTGCATGTGTGTGTGTGGGGGGGGGGGCAGTATTTTAGTGGTAGAGCACTTACCTTAAGTGCTCAAGGCCTTGGGCTGGATTTCCAGAACTGAAATTCCTTTAAAAGCCCAGATACCCAAACCCGAGTCGGAAGGGAGCTGTGTGTATGTGCTCCTTGCTTGATTCCCTCCCCCCAACTCCCATCAGCCACACTGCTTGCTTTCACTCGGGATGGGAAGCCCCCTCCAGGTCTTTTTGGCAACAGCCTCTTTGACCAACTGTCAAGGTCTCTCCCCAACATACCCCCTGCCGAACCCCACACCTTGATTCAGAAACAGATTCATCGGCCTTTTTATCTTCACTACAATTATGGAACAGGCTACTTGGTCTTGGTACTTACAAAATTCATAAAATTAATGTGTGTGTGTGTGTGTTCAGGCATTCAAATACCTCTACACTTGTGTAGAGGTCAGAGATTAACTTTTGAGAGTCTCACCTCTACCATGAGGCAGGACCTCTGTTTAATTTCTGTTTCTGAGCAGTATATTCCTACCTAGCTGTTCCAAGAGCTTCTAGAAAATTTCCCGACTCTGCTGGCCATCTTGATAAGAGGAGTACCGGGATTACAGAAGTGTAACCACATTCGACTTTTTATGTGGGTTTGAACTTGGTCATCCTGTGTGCATGGCTTTGGCTTTTGCCCAACGGTGCCATCTCCCCAGGCTTCCAGTTTAAAAGAAAAATCCAGTTGCGTCAAAGCAGAAAGTCTGGGGTCTGGGGTAGCAGATGGCACCAATGCTTTCTAGACCCATCAGATCCCATCGGAGTTGCTCACACCTTTCGGTACTTGGGAGGGGGCTAAGGGCTGAGTTCTCCACTACCAGCAGCGAGCAGAGGCCCACATGACTGGCTGTAACCCGAGTAGGGCAGGGTCCAGAAAGGGGAAGGATGGATATTAACTAAAGGCCCGCATGGGACAAACAGGGAGGTACCAGATGATGAGAACCTGATTCAGCAGGGGGCTTAGATGTTGCAGTTTTTCTGAGTTTTTATCTTTCAGAAAACTGATTCTTCTATGCAACTTCCGAGTTTGTATCTCAGTAGGACCCCTGATGACTCAGCTCAGAATCCCTAAATGGCAAAGATTTTTCCCCCTCCCAAACCTATGTTGGTTATTTGCAACAGCGCCCTCTGGGGGTTCAGGTGAAATGCACAGCTGCTAAAGGGCCTGTCCCAGGCTCTGCGTCTGGGCAGTGAGGTGCAGGAGGGAGATGGAATCTTAGCACAAGTCTTGCTAGAGTGACCTGGTTTCCTTTCTGCTTCAAGTGTTCAGAGTTACAGACTTTTCTCCAGCTCCCAAGCAGGAAGACTTGAGATGGGGCGGAGCTCAGTCTTACTCTGACCTACTCAAAGGCTTTTTCCTGGGAGTCACCATTTCCTGCTTGTCTCAGTCATTAGTGATGCCCTCGAGGGAAGGGAATTTTGGAAAAGAAGGCATTAAATCTCATACCCAACAAACCGGTTCTTCATTAGCAGAGTCGGAAGGTCTGTTGAGAGGCCTGAAACAGGACTAGAACGCCTCTTCGGAGCGGCCATTTTCGTCATCCGCGTCATCCCCTGCCCCCCTCCCCACCCACGTGGGAGGACGGAGAGAGAAAGGGTGTGCTATTGAGTTGGTCACGTTGCTCACTACCACCGATTCCATGGGCACTGCCATTTCAGGAAGTACACACGACTCACTTCAGTACTGCTGAGGGGATAATGAGGGGCAGACTGTGTCTCAGGGGAGTAATATTGATCAGAGAGATGGCCCAGAAGGTGATGACTCTTTCACACTTGCAAGCTTATCCAGCGGGTTGCTGCAGCGATCCCACAGAGCTGTGACAGGGACCTAGTGAAGCCCAGAGGTGCAGGTACAGCTGAGGCAGGGGCTTCTCAGGTTACACACCCGCAAAGCTCGGCTGGAAAAATTCCGAAGCCAGCCACTAGGGGTGTCTAAGGTCATGTCAAAGAGGTCAATTATTGGGTCTTCTGTATATCTTATACATACTTCTCAGTCCCAAGTCCCAAGTCAGAATCTCCGGTTCTCCTAGATGGGAATATTCTCTTCCAGCAGAGCATAACCCTCAAAATGTAACCTGGTGACACACCATGCTATAATGATTGTAAGATTACAGTTTTCTTTTTGTTTTCATTTTTTGAGACAGGTTTCCCGGTGTAGCCCTGGCTGTCCTGGAACTCACTCTGTCTATCCGTCTCTCCCGAGGGCTGGGATTAAAGGCGTGCACCACCACGCCTGAATTATTGTACAGGGATTTATTGTTATGGGTTATGGAACCATCTACTAAGAGCCATTCTGAGTCGCTGAAAACCACTGTCTTGAGTCTGTGAAACGGGCACGGCAAACCAAGGCGTTCTCTTTTCAGGGTTCTCACGGTCTTCAGTGCCAAACGGGGTGTGGTGGGGGCATAGAAAAGGAACATCCAGGGACGGAGACAGCAGGTTTCTTTAAAGCCTCGCCCCCTCCCCATCGCCCCGGTACTTCCCTTGGACGGTCCCCTCCCTAGCCAGTCCCTTTCCGTGCAGTCCCTATGTCATTTGTCTAAATATAGCTCCATCACTAACAGAGCCTGGTATCTTCTCTCAGCCTGTTTCTCATTCTGGAAACAGGTGTCTCGTGGTAGTGGGGTGTGAGGCGAGTCCCCGCCGACTATACGCAGATGTGTCCTACTGTTGAAACCTTGGGAAGCTGCCATACGTTAAAGAAACTCGGGAGACAAATTTTAAATGTCATTTAAAAGTCAACCAACTAACCATTTAGTTCTGGTGAGTTTTAAAGACAACAAACACTCGGAAGACCTGGGAGGAGTTTTGTCCTCCGCGGGGTTTCTTCGCTTCCTGGAGCGGCACTTTTCCCCCTGGTTTGGGGGTGGGGTGGGGGCTGAAAACGACCACCTTGTGCCTTCCTGCTTCACTCAGGGTCCAGGAAGAGCTCGGATGGCAGCAGGGATCTGTATCAGGCTTGAATTGGGGTGAACCGGCAGGAGCAAGCTTATCTCCGGGGTGCCTAGGGCCTAGGGGCACCCTCGGCTGGAGTAAAGGAGGGCTAGGGAGGCTGCGCCCGAGCTCTCCCCGCCTCCGCGCCGTCGGCCGTCGGGCCCCGCCCGGCGCAGCCCTAACGCACGCGCCGGAGTGTGTAAGGCACATCCGGGTGTCAGAGGCTGGAGGCCGCGGTTTTAGGGGTCGGGAGAGTGCCCTGGGGAACAGGGGCGGGACGCCAATTCGAAGCCAGAAGCGGGAGCGCCTGCACAGCACCGGCTGAGACGAGAGCCCAGTCCCCGCCGTGGAGCCCCCTGCCGGGTCGCTTTAGGGTAAGAGGGGCGGGGTCTTCATCGTAACTGGGGTGCTTGTGCTCGGTTTGGGTCGACCCGGCGCGGCTCCTGAGAATGAGGGTGGGGAAGGGACATCGTGTCCTCTAGACAGCCCTGTGGCCGAAAAGGAACCAGAGACGGACCGACTGATTTCCCTGTCTCGGCCCCCGGTGGTCTGCACCTGCTTCCCTCTGCCTGCGTCCCGCTTCCTCCGTACACGCCCCCAGGAACAAGGTCCTTCATTGCCGCAACGGGAGGCCCGGGGTTGATCACGCGGCCTCGTGGCCCCTGGGTGAAACCTTGGCACTCATCGTTCAGTGCCCGCGCAATTTCACAGAAGGGAACAGAGGCCCCAGGAATGGAAGGAACTGGCCCAAGGTCACTTCGTGGTCTAAGGCCGAGCCTAGATCGAAGTCACTCGTCTATCCTGGCCTTGGCTGTAGACACTGCGCGGTCGCGACCCATCTCCTGACCTTGCCCCACGCCCCCCCCCCGTGGCTTTCACTAGGCTCTGTTCTCGGGGTTTTGGCAGCGCCTCCTCCGTGCCTGCTGCTCTCGGAAAGGATGCTGTGAGGCCGCGGGTCCAGCCGCTTGAGTGCGAGCGTTGCCGGGCTTACTGGAGACTGGCTGGGCCTCGGTGCTGGGCGAGGAGGAGGTCCAGGCAAGGTGGCGGCGTTGCGGGTGCCGGCTGGGGTTGGCAGAGCTGCAGGGCCCCTGGCAGGCCCAGGCCCGAAGCCACCCCAGCTCCGCGTCTGGAGGACAGAGGGAATTTGTCTAGGTGGGCCGCCTCAGCTAATGGGAGCGCAGCTTTGGCCGAGCCCCCTTTGGTCTCCGCCCTCTTGCCAACTGGAAGGAACCGCGGCTCTGGGATTGGCTGTGAGGACCACAGCGACGTCGGGCGTGGTGGGGAGGAGGCGGCGCCTGCGCCACTCCTCTGTAACGCTTGCTAGCTGGAGGGCGCCGAGATTGCGTGGGTTCGCGCATCTGGGTGGGGCCCCGACGTCCTTTTCTCTACGCCGGCGGCTGCGCCTTCCAGGAGGAGGCGGCGTAACACCCATCGCATGTTTTTCCAGCCAGTGAGCCAAAGTCAGCCCATAGTCAGCCGTGCAGAGTCACTGTTTTGCCCAGAGGTTCCCACTTGGAAGAGCTGCAGAGGCTTCCTCTTGCCAGGACCCTTTGTGATGCAGCAGATGCCTTTCTTTCGACATCAGATTCATCCTGAAGCACAGGGCATATACACCCTAACTGGCCAGGAAGCTGAACGGAGACATTCATGTATCGTTCATGATTACTAAACAACACATCTATAAAGGAAGCCTAGAAGTCAGTGATTCACCGTACTGTTCGTGGGGTGCTTACCGTGAAGGTGGGACCGATGGTTAGCTAGGGCTTGTGAGTAGTTAGGAACTATCTCCAATATACCCCCATTGGGTGACTACAATCGCAGAAGTCCGGAGGGAGATGGGGGAAAGAGGGAGAGGTTTGTTTTGTTTTCCCTGAGAGGAGGGTTGAAGCTAAGGCTTCATGCATGGTGGGTAAGTTTACCACCAAGCTATATCCTCAACCTGAGTTTTGTTATTTTGAGATGATGTCCCACTAAGTTATTTGAGCAGACCTTGGAAGGCCTTGACGGGCCCCCTTCCCCCCTCCCTGCCTCAACTTCCTGAGTAGCTGGAATTACAGTCCCTATTGGGAGACTGAATTTTATAGGAAAGGTAGCTTGGAGGAGGTGTTATTTGTACCAGTTAGGTGTGAAGTAGATCTGATTTGTCATAGGAAAAGTGAGGCACAGAAATTAAAAGTGATGGTTGAGCAAATGATTTAGTAAGAACTTGTGAGAACACAGATGCTGTGGGTGCCTACACAGGTGAACTGCAAAATTAGCACCTCTAAAGTCAGGCATAGATGGAGGAGGGACTCAGGGGCTCCAGCCCTCAAAATTGAAATATTTACTGCTGATTCAGGGAGTGGAGGAGTCATTGGCTAAAATTGTGTATTCGCTGATGGCCCCATCAGGCTTCCATAGTTTCAATGTCGTGGTCCGTCAGTTGGCCCTGGTTAGGCTATCACGGTCCGAAGAGCAAAGTGACAGAAAAGGACTAGTATATCTCCCAAGTGCTGGGATTAAAGGCATGGGCCACCATGCCTAGTTTAAAACCCTCTTAATTCACTCTTCTATAGGCCTTAGGTGTGCAGGGCACTACTGTAGGAATCCCCGGTACTCCAAGATCTTGCAGCTGAATAAGACTCAAAGATGCAGATAAGGTAGAAATAGTGTGTGGAAGAAGGTCGGAGTGAGCTACCAAGAAGGAAAGCAAAACATGGAAGCAAGGACGGGCACAGAGAAATTGCCAGGCTGGGGCGGGGTGTTGAGTGAAGAGCTCTCTGTCTTATGAAGAGTTTCCAGGCAGAGGGACAAGAGAGCCGTGTGCTGCAGTGTGCCAGGAAATGTCCCAGTGACAGAGACAAGGGTAAAAGGACAATGGGCCAAGATCATGTCGGGTTTCAGGCAGTCTACATAAATTTGGGCTTGGAATTAGATGCAAGAGGGAGATGGTATGATGTATATTTTGCAGAACTGAACGGCCTGCATGGTGGCCTTGGTAGACTCAAAGAGCCTACCTGGGAAGCTGTTGCAATAATCCAGGCAAGGAGGGGCAAAGGCTTAGAGGACAGTGGATCCTAGCAGAGGATCCTAGCTAGCTTGTGAAGGTGATGCCAGTAAGGTTTGCCAACAGCTGTGCTGTAGAATGTGCAGGAAATCAGAACACAAGCACACTTGGGACAAGTTAAACTTGGCATACCCAATAAAACCTTCAAAGGGGCAGTTGTATACCTAAGGCTGGAGTTTGGGGCAAAGGCTGAGCTTAGCGTGTTGACAGCATGTAGATAATCCAGCTATGAAAGCTCACCGTATGGTAAGAACAGACCAGGAGTGGAGCCCTGGGATAGCATCAGTAGTCGGTCTTGCCCTTGTCAGGCAAGCCCTGTTCTCCTGGGCATAGAGCGTTCTTAGTCTGGTTATTGTAGTTATAGTGACTTTGACATCTCTGGTAACATTTTCTCTTGGGGAAGCACAGATGAGTGATGGAGCAAGGGCAGCACATGTCACCTTGTCATTGTAAGGTCAACAGCGAGGCACGTGAAGAGTTAGTGATGTGTTCAGCAGAATTACCTTCAGCTACCCACCTCAGCAGGTCTTGGGTCCCTAGCTCGTAGAGGCTGGTTTTCATCCTTTCCTAGGGGTCATCTTCCATCCAGGGTCAAGGGTCAGGCCATCTCCCTGTGCAGCCACAGCTGTGGAGACTGAATCCTGTGGGCTGGAGCAAGTGTGAGGAGAGGGGTTGACAGGATAGACATACTGCAGTGACTACCATTCGGGAATTTGTCTCCTGGGCATATTGAGGTGCCCGTGTTGGTTGTGTCTCTGCAAAACTGGGCTGTGCAGCTAAATCCTTGGCTTTATTGACTCCGTTGAGATTTGTTGTGAGTTGATGTCTGCATTTGTGCTAGCTGTATGGTGAGAATGTGTGTGTATACCATCTGATTTCCTGTTAATTCTATCAGGCTTCCTGTCCAGATTTTCTCTCAAAGGACTAGTAGGCATCTCTTTGAACAAAGGGTTTTACTCTTTTACTTTTTGGTTTTTCAAGACAGGGTTTCTTTGTGTAGCCCTGGCTGTCCTGGAACTCTCCCTGTAACCTGTCTGGCCTCAAACTCACAGAAATCTGCTTCCATGTGTCTCCCAAGTGCTAGGATTAAAGGTGTGCACCGCCACTGGTTTAAAAAACATATTGCCTGTCCCTTTGGCATAACTTCTGGGAAACTCTTATTACCTGTGGCCAGACCAAATGAAACTACTAAATAATTAGAAGGAAATATCCAGAACATATTTTATGTCTTTCTGGTTCTGGATCTCATAACTCAAACTCCATGTAGTGTGCACCATGTGCAGAGCCCTGGATTCAAGACCTCAGACAAAATGAAAGAAAACACAACAAGCCACTGGACTGAAGTGAATAATAAGAAAATGTAAGGACAGTTAAAACTCTAGGGTGGCCAAGTTTAGCAGTGGGCTGCCAGTGTTAGACTTTGGCTTCTGACAGATATTTGCTCTCTTGGGTATTTCAATGCAGGGTATTTGTAGAGGATGCAGCTAGTCCTCCTCTGTGGCTATCCTCTCCCATGCTACAGGGACAAAGGCCCATCTACACATCCTACCGGGAACATTGAGTCCTTTCCTGCAGAATGCCTGCCTCTAGTATTCCTGTCCCTGCAGATGCCCTTCCTCTTCTGAGAATGACTTACCTGATGGGGTTATGGGAGATCTAGCTACTGACCCACTGGAAAGCCGGTAGCCATGGTGTCTTCAAGATACTCAATTACAGTGCAACAAGGTTAGCCCAGTAGCCTGACAAGGATGTGTGCTATGTTACAGAGACTCTTGCTTAGCTGCCTCTCCTAGTGGCCATGTCACAAGTCATCACCCCTTGAGGCTGATTTGCGCTCTTCCTCCTTCTCCTTTTTTGAGGCAGGGTTTTCTCTATAGCCTCGGCTGCCCTGGAACTCACTCTGTAGACCAGGCTGGCCTCAAACTCAGAGATTCACCTGCCTCTGCCTCCTGAGTTCTGGGATTAAAGGTACTTGATTTTTTATTTGAATTCCTTTGAAAATGGGTTCATCTTGGGGTTCCCACAGATGCATTGACCTCTGGGGGGTGCTCTTGAGAGGAGACCCAGGTTTTCTAGTATCTTCATTTTGTGACAGCATCCTATGGATTTGGTCCCTCTCAGTCAGACCTTTGTGCCCTTTACTGTGGTGCTTGAGTCTCAAGACCAACAGTAGACCCAACCCTTATGAGATCTTCCTTTTTCTGGCACCCCTACTTCCTGTAACCATTTCTGTTCCCCCAAAAGGCAGACCCAAGAGAAAACTTCCTGTTCTTTTATAGAGTGAAATCCAGCCTGAGGCATTAAGACAGCAGCCTCCAAGTGGGAAAAGTCCTTAGGTGTAACACGATACACTGTGCTCCATAGACCTAGTTTAGGCTGGCGGTGTAGCTCATATGCAAAACACTTGCTTAGTAAGAGGCCCTGCCTTCAGATATAAATGTCTACTTCTCTGCGAATGAGAGACCATATTGTAAACAGGCCTAATTCAAAGGCCTGAGTTGCTATGTGCTTTAAGCTACTTTGACCATAACACTTCACATTTTGCTGACTCTAAGGGAAACTAAGTTGAAAGCAACCCTCTATTTGGAGGCTATATTGAGGCATTCTCTTGTGCAGGCATTGAGCCAAGGACTGGGGAAGGTGTTTAATTACAGACTGCGTTTGAAGTCATCCAGGAGCAGTGAGCTGGTCAGTGGTGTGGGGAGGAGGTCAGCCAGCTGTTCAGCACATGGCCTCCTGTAAAGATGAGCCCAGCTCTGGCCTGGGTCTTCCACAGGGTCCCAAGTTGGGCTCTGCTCTGCTGCCGCCTGTGCCTGCAGGGACCTGCCCCTGGGACTTCACAATGGGCCACATGGTGCCTTCCTACCTGCAAGGTGCTCCTTGGTTAATTTGCATTCACACTCAACTGAGCTTGCTTGGTGTCTCCTCTGGTTGGCCTGGGCACTGATGGCTACTGAAAGTGGCCAACAAGACAGGAAAGTCCTCTGGTCTCATGAGATTTTTGTCCATAGAGGGAGAGTAAGTAAATAAGCAGGACAGCATGGGCATCAAAGAAAGGGGACCCAAAGGGTCATGTGGGTGTTGCTTGGGAGCTCCTTAAGAAGGAGGAGTGGTGACTTTGCATGGTTCTGTGGCTGTAACAATACCTGAGAGTCACACTCTTAGAGAAAAGAGGTTTGACTCGTGGTTCTGAGATGGCTAATGCACAGGGCTTGTGCTGAGCATCCGGTCAGGGCCCGATGCTGTTCATAGCACGGGGGTGGGTGGGGGGTGGGTGGGGGGGTGGGTGGGGGGGGTGGGAGGGGGCTGGTTTGAATGTGGCAGAATGTAGTAGAAGGGTTGCTCTATAACAACCTGCTTTTACAGTAACTCATCCAGCCCCGGGAGAGTGACATCTCTCTGGGGACCAGCACTAATGTCCCTAATCACTAAACCACTTTTTTGTTGCGTGAAGACAGGAAGAGCTGCACGTGAAGCCCAGGCTCCTTGATCACTTGTGTGTTCCTCCTGTCTCAGCTCCCAAGAGTTGCTCACGTGTGTGCTCCTCCTGCCTCAGCTCCCGAGAGTTGAGATGTAGCTACCGCCATGCCTGGCTCCTAATCACCTTTTTGTTTGTTCAGTTTTGGTCTCATTTTCTTATTTCCGCTCATGAAGCTGGAGCTGGCTGTGTGTCCTCTCTGTTGTTAAAGGTGGCGCTCCTTCCACTGTGTCCACGTTCTAGTGACCCCATGTGTCACTGTCACACGACGACAGTCAGATACCAGTCTGATTGACTGGGGGATAGCTCAGCAGAACATCTGCTCAATGTGTGAAGATGTAGATTCCATGGCTAGCCTCCTCCCCCTGCATTTCAGCATGAGTTTTCTAGGGGACAACCACCTGCAAATCACCGCAGGTGATGAACAGCAGCCACTCCAAAGACTGAAGGGACACAAGACCCCTCCCAGCCTCAGCCATCCAATAAGAGGGAGAGCAGTGGCCAAGGGCTCTGAGACTGCAGGAAACCGCTTCACCAGAGGACAGCAAATTAGGAAGTGCTGAGAGGGAGGTAGAGGCCAGCAGAGCAGGCGTAGATAGACAAGGAAGGTAGCATGGCTTCCCTCTGGCTGTTAGAAGGGTCTTTCTAGCCAAAGTTCTCAGAATGGGAGTGGCTTGTAGAAAGAGAAGGGATGTTGAGGTGGGAACTTCACCCCAGCCCCTGGCATCCATACACCTAAAGAGTCTGGAATGTTCTGGTGGAAGTTCCACCCAAGCCCCCTCCCCCATCTCCCTCCAAACCCTGCTGCATCTCAGAAAGCCTGCCAAATGATGGCCCCTCCCCCAGAGATACTCAAGACCACTCCCACAGGGTATTTAAACTGTCCCCCAGAGAACAGACTCATGGTTTTTCCAGTTTCCCTTTTCCATCTCCTCTCTGAGGGAGCTAGAAGGCCATCTGGAAGCACTGTATCCATTAAACATGTACTTTTTTAAAATTCGGTTTGATTTGATCTGATTTGGATTGCTGCATTGGCCGAGAGGCTTATCTGGGTGTAGAAATTTTTCAGAGGCCTCCACCAAGTTCAAGAACAGTAGAAACACAAGTCAAAGGAGCCCTGTCAGCTAAACACCTCTGCCTCACCCTTCAGTGAGCACAGTCTAGGTAGGCTTGTTGACTACCCGAAGACTGCCACAATCTGGATACGGTTAGAGCCTTTACTTGAACTGTGAGGTTTGAAGGGTAGAAATTTAACTGGCTGCCCTTACTCACTATGGAAATTAGTAAATTATATATATGGGCACTTTTGTCTGAGTGCATGTCTCTGCACCACATGAATGCCTGGTGCCTGAAGAGGCTGTTAGATCGTTTAGAACTGAGTTAGATACGGTTGTGAGCTGCTATGTGGGTGCTGGGAATTAAAGCTGGGTCCTCTGAAAGAGCAGACAGTGCTCTTAACCACTGAGCCACCTCTCCAGATCTTAAGTGAACTATTTTTTGCCTTCAGAGGAAGGGCCTTTGGGAGCTGACCCAGATTAGCTAATGTCTTCATGGTGCAGGTTCCTGGTTGAATCCTGGGGACTTTGTAAGAAGTCTGTGTGCCAGGTATTGTGGTACACACCTTTAATCCCAGCATTCATAGAGATAGGCAGAGCTTTATGAGTTCGAGGCCAGCCCATCTATACTGTGAGCTCTAGGTCAGCCAAGGCTATATACACAGTGAGACTCTGTCTCAAAAGGAGGAAGGGAGGGAGGGAGGGAGGGAAGGAAAGGAGGGAGGAAGGAAGGAAGGAAGGATGTGTAGTTCCTACTACTGACTGATGATGTCTCATAACCAGGTCTCTGCCAGCTGGAAGCCCACAATTAAATGTGCACCTTTAACTTTGGAGTAAAAACGTGGGCCAAAAAATCAACCTGCTTTCTTTATAAAGTTAGCCAGTATCCGGTACTTAGCCTCATGGCTGACTGCCAGTTGTGTTTGGGATGGGCCAGTTACGTAAAAGGAGAAGCCTGGAAAAGAAACGATCTCCTGGGCTCCAGTCATGGGGATCCTCCCAGCCTCCCCTCCTAGCCCTTTGGTGGGAAGTTGTCACTGACCCCTCCTACCCTTAGGCGGGAAGTTGTCACTGTCCCCCTCCTAGCCCTTTGGTGGGAAGTTGTCACTGTCCCCCTCCTACCCTTAGGCAGGAAGTTGTCACTGTCCCCCTCTACCCTTAGGCGGGAAGTTGTCACTGTTGCCCAGAACAGGAAGGTGCTAACACACATGTTGAGCAACAGTTACTAATGGAAACATAAGGCGAGCTAAAGAGACCTCTGATTCTCTTCATTTTCGGCAGATTAGAGACAAATACCCCCAGCTGCCCTCTGTGACAAGCATTACATTAATTGATTAGTACTGGCCTGGTCTGGGTCTGCTTTGTATAGGCGACATTTAATCATCATGGTGCTGGGTAGGCCTTAGGTGACACAAAATAACATACGACCTAGTTGCAGTGGTTTGATTTAATCTTGGGTAAGGATAAGGGGTGTGTGTGTGGTCTTTTGTTTGCTCTGTGTGCAGGTTTTATTATTGTTGACTTATTTTGGTTTTTTTCTGGCAGAGTCTTATAGCCCAGGCTAGTGGGGAATTTGCTTTATAGTCTAGGCTGACTTCCAACTTGCAATTCTCCTGCCTCAGCCTCCGGAGTGCTAGGATGATAGGCATGGACTATCCTGCCTGGACTGTATGTGTGTGTCTAATGTGAAGAGTCTGGCATGGACTATCCTGCTGGACTGTATGTGTGTCTAATGTGAAGAGTCTGGCATGGACTATCCTGCTGGACTGTATGTGTGTCTTTAATGTGAAGAGGCTGGCATGGACTATCCTGCTGGACTGTATGTGTGTCTTTAATGGGAAGAGTCTGGCATGGACTATCCTGCTGGACTGTATGTGTGTCTCTAATGTGAAGAGTCTGGCATGGACTATCCTGCTGGACTGTATGTGTGTCTCTAATGTGAAGAGTCTTGCTTCTCATTTTGTGGCTCCAGCCTCTATGCTCTAGGTCCTGGAGTCTAGGGGTTACTACTTAATTCAGTCTCAGAGCCTCGAGTTTGCTGGGGTGAGAGGAACGTGGAGTACTGAGCCAAGTGGTGCGTCGCGTGGGGCTGCAAAAGCCACCTGCAGAGGCTGGGGACACTGAGTGAAGGCCAGTGTCCTGATCACCACAGATGGATATTTTGCTAGATATCGGAAACCTGGACAAAGGAACAGGGCTCGCTGAGATGGACCTGCCCCTGCTGGGTGACTCAGTGGTTAATAGTACCTCCAGAGGACTCCCCAACAAGTGTGTCAGACCCGTGGCCTACAGGTCATATACAGCTGAGGACAGCTACAAATATGGGCCAACATAAAATTATAAATTTACTTAAAACATTATATTCTTTAGACTCTTAAGACTTTCTGGGTGATGGTGGCACATGCCTTTAATCCCCAAACTCAGAAGGCTGAGGCAGGCCGATCTCTGTGAGTTCAAGGTCAGCTTGGTCTACAAACTGAGTTCCAGGATAGCCTGCCTCAAAAAACAGCAAGACTGAATTGCACAGCTCTTGATGATGCTGTCTTTTTGCTGTGTCACAGGTTAGATGTCGCTTTTCCTGTTATGTCCCCACGTCAATTTCCCCAGTAGTTACTATACAGCCTGCCTGGAGGATGATTGGTCTAGTTGAGTGTTGTCTGTCACCCATAGGTGAGCACTCATCCATGGCTGTCCTGTGAACCGTTGGTAAACCCTGGCTCCCGATTTTCCATCTCATGAGGCTTTATCTTGAGCAGGCCCTTGTCCGTTAACTTCAGCAACCTGAAGGAAGTGGCCGCTCCTGACTAAACTTCCGGGTGCAAGAGGCTGAGCATGCATTTTGTGTTTCAGAACCACCAGAAGGAAGCGGATCGTCCTGCAACCTGCTGACATGATGCTGGCTGCCCGTCTCTTCAGACCCCTGTCACAGCTCCCAGGAAAAACTCTAAGTGTCTGTGATAGAGAGAATTGGACAAGGTAAGCAACTAAGGGAAGAGGTGGCCTTGAGGACCACGCTTGTCACAGGTGGGTCCTGACTGTCCGCAGTTCCTGCCAGCCCCCAGGGAAGGGGGCTTCCAGTGCTTGGAAGTCATGCCTCCCCAGGGCTAACAGGGTAAAGAGGAACAGCTTCCAGTGTTATAAATCCCTTTGTATTGTTGGTGGTGTAGCTCAGGGGTAGCATGCTCGCCTGGTGTATACATGATCCCCAGTGGCTGCAAAAATAAACAAGTAAGTCCTTTGTTTGAAATACTTTCAGAATTATAGAAAAATTGAAAAAAAAACAAAGGACACCCAGATCCTCCATACTCACCTTCCTCAGCCGTTTACATCATATAAACTAGTGTAGTGCTGACTTCCATCAGGGGATGGCCATGGAAATGGCACAGATGAGCAAGCTTCAGATCTTAGCCAGCCTTCACCAGATGAGCAAGCTTCAGATCTTAGCCAGCCTTCACCAGATGAGCAAGCTACAGATCTTAGCCAGCCTTCACCAGATGAGCAAGCTACAGATCTTAGCCAGCCTTCACCAGATGAGCAAGCTACAGATCTTAGCCAGCCTTCACCAGATGGCCCACTGATGGGTGTGTCTTACACAGCACACACATTAGCCCCTGCCACCGCCATTGCATTTAGCTGACGTGTCTCCTTAGTCTTTCTCATCAGCAGAGATTCTTCTTCACCTTAGTCGTGATCTTGACACTGGAAGGCCACTCGCCAGCTACTCTGAAGAACGTCTCCTGGTGTAGGGTCTCTTCCAGTGTAGGCTTTGTGTGTGTGTGTCGTTGCGGTGTTGTGGTTAAAAGTAGATGTCTGGTACGGAGCTTGCAGAAGTGAGGTGTGCCCTCCTTAGCACCCCACGAGTGTCCGTGTGACTCATTTCTTTGGTCTTTCTGTGTTTGCACCTTAAGGAAATACCCTAGACATCCCTGAACTGCTTGTGCAGTTTAGGAGAATTACTAAATAAGTCCAGACTAAACAAACAGACGTTTGGTATTCTGGAGACACTATCTTTCCATATTACTCAGGCTGGTTTCCAGATCCTTCCTTTGGGGTCCTCCCACTTCAGCCTGTGAGTGCTGGGTCTAGGTGGGAGTCGCTGCACTCAGCAGATCTTGCCTGTTCCAGGGAGTTCTGTGGGCTCTGCTGCTCCAAAAGAAGATAAACTTCTCCTGGTCAGGTTTGAAGGAAGTAAAATGTCTGTCAAGTTAAATGCTCAGTACCTATAGGAAGACACTTGGCCTTTTCTATGCTAGTATGTTTCTTTAGAGTAGACATTGAGGGCTGGAGATATGACTCAGTGGTTAAGAGCATTGATTGTTCTTCCAGAGGTCCTGAGTTCAATTCCCAGCACCCACATGGTGGCTCACAGCTATCTATAATGAGATCTGGTGCCCTCTTCTGACATGCAGGCAGAACACTATACATAATAAATAAATAAACCTTAGAAAAAGATAGAACAGATTTTGAGAATTTTCTCAGCATTTGCTAGAATCCATTTGTATGGGATCCAGAGCAAGAGGCTCGGCTGCAAATAGGACTTAAGCTCTCATTGTCACTGTGAGAAGGACTTAAAATCACCTCTGTGCATAGCAGTGTTCACTGCATCGAAGGGGACAAGGATCCTGGCTGCCGAAGGGTTTTAGAGAGAAGCGTCTTCCTGCCTTTTTTTAAAAATCCGTTCTTATTTACTTCTTATTTGTTCAAGCCCTTGAATGTTACAACACCAGAAATTCTGTGTCCAATGGCTTAAGCAGGAAGTTGCCTGAGAATCTGGCAGGAACCACGCCACTTTGCATGGGCACAAATTACCCTTCTCAGATGGCTCTGCTTCTGTCTAGTTTGCTCTCACAACTCCTCATGGTTTCTGCTTTGTTGCACATAAGTACAACCCTTGCCCAAAGGAGAATTCACCTTTGTCCCTGACATAAGCGCTGCGCATTTAGGAAGAACTGTGCTCCCTCTGCAAACCATACTGCTTCTAGACATTCTTGTTTCTTAGATGTCCTATTCCCAGCAGGCCAGGACACCCCATTCTCGAGGCATCAGGGACCCAGCACCTTGGTCTGTTGCTCCTCCCTCTTCTCCACTTTCCCCATAGAATCTACAGACAGAGTCTCCAAGCTGTACCAGTGCCTTGCTGAGGGATGTAGGGAAACTGCCCCGTTATTTGCCCGCCTTTATCCTTTAAAGCAAGTGATTCATAAAAATAGAAAAACCTGGACCTGGAGGGATGGCTCAGTGATTTAGAGACCTGCCTGCTCTTACAAAGGACCCAGATGCTCCCAGGGAGCATTCACATGGCAGCTCATGTTAGTCCAACTCCAGCTAGAAGGGATCTGGCGCCCTCTTCTGGCCTCTGCAGCCACTGAAACACATGGTACACCTGCCTATTCGTAGGCAAATATTCATGCACATAAAATAAAAAATAGAAAAACCTGTCTCCAAAGTGGCACTTAGAGTTTTATGAAAATTTTTTATATAAAAACAACTCCAAGGCTGGGCGGTGGTGGCGCACGCCTTTAATCCCAGCACTCAGGAGGCAGAGGCAGGTGGATCTCTGTGAGTTGGAGACCAGCCTGGTCTACAAGAGCTAGTTCCAGGACAGCCTCCAAAGCCACAGAGAAACCCTGTCTCTACCCCTCCCCCAACAAAAAAAAAACCCAAAGGAAATTAAAATATTTCTACCAAAGATTTGTCTTTAAAGAGAAGTGAGGCATTAGTTGCACTTCTGATTTATTTGAGGAGGAAAAACACTACCACAGGGATGCTCTTGACTATGTGGGTAATGAAGAGCTACCTGGAATTTCAGATGGCACAGCGTGTATGTGGCGGGGGCAGCAGAGCTGAATCAGAATGAATTACATGTCCCCAAGGTGGGGTATCAGTAGAGGCCCAGAGGGAGGGAAACTGGACAGGGGTGACCCGTGCTGAGATCAGCACAGGTCGTAGGGAGAACCACTGGCCTGAATTTGCTTGAGTCTCAGTTGCCAAGGGCTTCGTCTCCAGTCATCCCCGAGGGTGAGTCCTGCTGATCCCCTGGCGTCACTGATGCATGACCTCCCAGCTTGGATGCATTTAACGTATCCGTTGCTGGGAAGTCAGTACCTCTCACAGCATACCTGTGTCTTTGGACAGCTCCATATACAGTCCTTCTTTCTCCTATAAATGCCGCCCTTTGTTCCTGGGTCCATCTCTGTGTTCACACTGTCACATCTCTCTTGGGACCATGCCATCCAATGCCCATCTGCTTGTCCCCTTTTATTCCCTCTATATGGTTCCCTCCTGAGTGTCTCTCCTTGGCCTGCATTCCTCTTAAGGTGTGATACCCAGACAGCTGCACAGCCACTGCTGGCCACAGGCCTCAGCAGGAGTCTCCCAGGACACATTTGGGTGAAAACTTTCCAAGGACTGGCTGGTTATGACCCCTGCTGTGACACCAGTGGCCTCTGGTTTTAAGAGTGTCTGGCTGTGCCTGAGGACACCGGTGCCTCTGGCAGACAGTTTGCTGATGTGCCCCCTCCCCCCCCTTGCAGGACACTGGTACCTATACTCTGCACTAGTGACCTGCCCAGGCAGAGAGGAAGCATGACAACCCATAGCTCTGATCCAACAGTGTAGACGTGGGCGCTGGTGTTTTCACCTGGTTCTTTTAAATCCACGCTAGGTTTACATACCTACTTTTGGCAGCTGTGTGATCCTGGAGATTCCTGACTGAATTTTTTCCCTTGAGGCCATTGTGATACTGTAGTTGGGTCACCCTGCCTTCTAAACCCAATCTCACGAGATTCAGCTCACTACATTGGCTCGTGGTTCCCTCAGTGGAAAGCTGTTACTGGTCACCAATGCTGGTTCACAATGGGAGGAACAGCAGTTAGGAACGCTGACCGGTGAGAAAGGGAAAGAGCCGGAGTGGATACCTTGGCCATTCCGAAAGGTCTCTTCTATGTGGCCTGGGCTTTCTGGATACAAGTGTTCAAATGAGCAGTGCTGTCTACCACAGGCCCTTGGCACACAGTGGCTGTGCTTCTCTCTGCCACACCCGCGGGTTCTGCTTTAACTGCTCACGAGTGAGGGCTTCTCCAAGGTGAGAAGCAGTCCTCGGTCAGGGATGCCACCTGGGTGTAGGGAGCCTGGCAGGACTGAGAGAATTGAAATCAGAGCAGATGAGGCACAGCTGGCACTGGTGCGGGGTGGTGGCTGAGAGCCAGGCAGAGCGTAGCAGGACACTCCTGCCATCTGGGGCTGCCCCGTGCTGGTCAGAGGCTGAATCACCACTCTGTAGGGCTCCGCCTTTCAGGGTTGGGTGCAGAGGGTCCCGGGCTGTGAGATCTCTGGAAATGTAAAAATGTGCCACCGACATTGGGTATGAGTGGTAGAGCCCAGTGTCACATACTTCTCGGCCATGGCGGCCTCGCATCTGGATATGTTTGAGAATGGGAAAATGGGTTACAGACAAATGTGGTGGCAAATTTCTGACATAAGCCTTTATCTTACTTGTGACTTCTTTTGTTACTTTTTAAGATGTCACATGTGGGCCAGTGAGATGGGACCCATGTAAAGGTAGGAGAGAATTGACTGTACAGAGTGTGCCGTCACACACACACACACACACACACACACACACACACACACACCCTACAAACACGCATACCCCCACATACACTAATAATACTAGTAATTAATGAATAAAATAAAATGTCATGTACTTAGAAATGTCATGCTGTACCAAGGACCCTTAAGATAAACACAATTCAGTTCTACTAGAAACACCTTTCTGGTTCCTTTGTTTTTGTAGAGTCATGCCAGGAATCATGGCACATACTGCTTTTTTTTTTTGGTGACGTCATCTGACCTAGCTTTGGTTAGACTGATCCTGCTGTTCTCACTTGAAACCATCTGTACATGAGAACTTAACTCAATAAAGCTCAGATCATCACCCAAGCAGATTTTCCCAATGGACCTTGTTTCTATCTAGT